TCCTGTTCGCTCGTCCTGCATCTCTTTTTCCCTCTGCAATCTGATTGTTTTAGCAACTTTCAAGTCCTCCGTGTAGATCGTGTGGTGTACAGCTGGACGTATTCTGCGTGTCTGTCTTCTGAATCCCGCTCAGGCCTGGTCTTCTGCGGTGAATCGATCGAGGTAAGGTCTTGTGCATCATGAGGCTCGGTAGGAATCGAATGAGTTTTGGATTGCAGGTGGATGCCAGCGTTAGCCGAGGATGATGAGGTAAATGACGACGACGATGTTGATTGCGACCAATGGAACTGTCGATTCGGGATAAATGTATCAGTGACGTTGGCTCCTTCTTTCTGCACCTTTGGAGGCTGAATGCTTACTTCGCATGAGTGTTCTTACGGCGGAGATGAGGTTGATGAGCCTGGCCTTGACGGTGACATCGTTCTGCGCATACGGCCCAGCCTGCGAAAAGCCCTGATCAAACGAGTGTGCGTTTGCGAGCGAGTTTGACGACCACCCCACTGTCGACCCACAAAGACAAAGTCGGTCAAGAAGCTGCACAACGCCAGAAAGGGTGAGGGATGGACTTACCTCTTGCAAGGAATCGGTCTTCCGAGAGCACAGCTAGCGCATTGGTGATGAAGAGGATGAGGTAGAACGCCGAACCGAGTCCAAACATGATCGGCAATGATGGATGGGCGATCGAAACTGGACCAGTACTGCCGACTCCAGATGCTCGATGTCGAGAAGAAAGCGTGGCGTGTCCAGAGATGCGGTGTGGAGTGGCCACGCTGATGGTGGTCTGTGTGAGTGCGGAAAAATCTCCAGCGTGTTAGACTTTGCTATCGGCGCAACACGTGACCACGAGCACGACACCTCCAACATCATCTTCCCAGCGTCGTATAGAGGTGTCATATGATGGCGGAGACAAGCAACGCTCACGATGCACGCACGAGACAGTGAGTATGACTATGCATGAACGTGTAGCAGGTACAAATACAAATGTGTGGGAAGAGAGAGTATGTTGAGGACTCGGCCTGATGATGCGGCCTCCAACCTGAGTGGACGGCGAGATGTGCCGGGGATCTTTGTGTGCTTTCCATGCTGCACAAAGTCCGCCTCCTTTCGGTGATGCAAGCGGTGAGATCAGGACACCCTTGCGACGACCTCTCCGCCGTATCCCCTACGAATAGCGTCGCGGACCTCCCACCATCCGTTCTTGCCGCAATCGACGATGCCAATCTCGCCCATATCGAGGGGCTTTACGAACTTGGCTCGCCTTCCCGTTGCGAGTCTCAGGAGCTCGTCCTTGTCCATGGTGAGCTTGCGCGACGGTTTCGACACGACGTTCATCTTCTCCAGCACGGGGCGGTCGTCGGGACGGAACTTGAGGTCGACCCACAGCCGACGCGCCGCAGGGCTAGCCGCCGTGTACGAGGTCGGACTCGGACCGGTCTGGGTGCCACGAACCACGTTGTGAATAAAGCCGTGCTGCAGGAGGATAGAGAGGATGGAGAGGTTGTCCTTGGTCGAGGCGAGTGGGATCGAACGCAGGCGCGCGCGCGAGGCGTTTTGGAGGATCGTACAAAGGTCCGCGTGCAACGGCATCGCGATCAGACTGAGCGGGTGGGGTGACTGAAAGTTTGATCAAAGGGATCTGCGCGGAGTATGCGACGGAGACGCGCTGGATAAAGCGAGATGCCGGTGTGGTGATTGAGGAGTAAGGGCGAGAAGATGGTGGTTCTTCTTAGCAGCCTCAAAAATCTCGTGCATCCTCGGATCCGATTCCGACCGATGCGCTCGCTACCAAAAAAAGAGGAACAGTGTTAGCTCAGAAGGGTCGTAACAGCTGTGGAAAAAAGTAATCCCTCCACCTGCACGAACACGTACGCACCAGCCAACCTTCCGGCTGCCCATCAGCGTTGCATCGTCGGTCATCAGATCCATTAGAAGCAGCCAGCTGTCGCATGGAGAGCTGCGATGCTCGTCGGATATAGCACAGCTTGTCTGCGACCAGTAACGCGAGCGTCTATTCCTCGGATTGCGGGTCACGAGGCAGGTGTGCGTCGGCTGGCTTCCGGGTCAAGGCACTTTGGCTCCTCACTGCCCGCTTTCGACAAGCCAACCAAGGCCACACCTACTGGGTTTCGGGTGTACCGATACGTGGTGGACGTGCATGGTCAGCTGTTCCTGCACGACACAGTGCCCAAGAACCTGACGAGCTGCTTCAAGAACACCGACTTTCTTGACTTCTTCTTCAAGCGCCTGCGCCCGAACCCGGCATCCCGCACGGCGTCCGCCGACTACTCAATAATATCGCGACACGATATCCTTCATGCGCCCGTATCGTCTCTAGCATCCGACTGGAGCGATGGGGCGCCATTCAACGGCGACATGACGACAGAGCAGGCTGCGAGCGATCTGTATTTGGAAGCATGCCGGTTGGGCGACAGCGAAGGTTACGAGTGGATCTCGCCATGCGGACCGGAGCTGAACCTGATCCGGAGTCAGGATGCGCCGATTGTGTTTCGGGAGCTCAGCGACGACGGGATGCTGCGCTGGGCAGGTACGTTGCAGGAGACGTTCGAACCCGATAAGCTCGTGGTGGATCCGAACAACGGGTACGTCTATCATCCATCTCCCCGACCAACACGACGGAAGCGGCAAACCAACGAAGATTCCGCAGAAGTGCAGAGGTATGGGGCTCTGAGCTTGCTTGGTTCAAACCTGGTGTTGAGCCGACTGGCCGAGGGGTTGGACATCGATCCGGATGCGTTTGACCACGGCGTGGGAGGGAGTATCGAATGGAAGGGTCGTCGGTACAAGCTCGGTCTGCTGGGCAAGGGCTAGAGGAAGCGTGTATCGATCGGCAGCGCAGCGGGACGGGCGACGGATCTCAGCCGACACCCAACACACGCACGGAAGTTCCGATCTTGAAACAAAGCCGAACTCGACCCTATCCCAGCAAAGGGCTAGTCACATCCGCATTGCAGCCCGCAATTAAACTTGCTTCGACCGCCGCTTTCCCGCTGCCGTGTGGTGTGATGCTAGGAAAGAGCGGAGCTGCATCCAAGCTGCAGGTTGCATGCAGGTTGGCTGCACAGTGACCGTAAAAAAAGGGCGGTTCGGTGCGGCGCCGGCGGAGTCCCAAGGCGACGATGCGCAGATAGCATGTTCACATGGGCAGCCAACCTGCTGATCGTCGTGCCCTCACCCCGGCGAACCCCAGCAGCAAACACTGTCTCACTTCAATACAGTGGGAGCCGTAGATACAGTCCATGTAAGGCTGTGAGAGATGTCGAAAAATTAGCAGGAAAAGAAAAATAAACTCCCTAATGATCGACATGTCCGGTTCGGCAGACTTCGTGAAGAAAAGGCGTGCGGTCAGCGGCCTTCAAACTCGGGCAGTGTCCCGCTGCAGCGTGGTTGCGTGTGCCAACTCGGCAGCGCGCTGCATCGTATTCCAGCTTGCCCGCGGCTCAGTCATACAATGGGGAGAAGCAATTAAACAATTGGCCGGGCAGGCTGTAGTATTGCCAAGCTGGGGCGCCGTAAGGCGATTTGATGGGCTTTTGCACGTGTCAGTTGGATCGACTGGGCTGCAACAGCGATCGACAGTCCGTTATCACAGCAACGCGGATGGGAAACGAGATTTTGACGCTGTGGATCAGGAACAGTGGCGCTCTCGAGCCAAATCTCGTGGGCCACGAACGAGTTAGATGAGTGTTCCAGCTGGCTCGGAACGTCGGAATGCCCGAGACGGGCAGGGGATAAAAAAACAAATGCGATCCAAAAAGAAAAGGTGAGGCGAGCAGATCGGAATGCACCGCCAGCCGAGGCGACAAAAAAACGGCAGCCACGCGAAGAGACGCAGACAAGAGAGGGCGCGGCGAAAGATGCATGCCCCTTCCCATCGGTCGATGGCCGAGTGAGGGAACAGCCGACCATCAAAAAAATAAAAATGTATCTTTATGGCATCTTGGCAGCCTGCATCTCACGGCGACACCTACATGCGCGCGGCAACAAACAGCTGTTTTTAGACCTCGCTCCGTCCTGGCCCCTTTTAGCCTGGGCGCCGAACCGAGTTGCGAGCCCCAAATGCAGAGGGAGACTAGGCAAGGTGAGGCAAAAAGACGAGACGAGGCTCGAGTTGGTGGGGCAAGGCAAAGGCAGTCCGAGTGGCGCTAGAAAGTGCTCCAAGAAGCCGCTTGCACCGCGCGGGCGTGGCGACGCATTCATGCAACCAACGGCGTGGACCCGTAGGGCTTGGCCGCGCGCGCCCAAATGCAATCTTCTGCCTGCCCTTTTCCGTTGCACTCGCCTTGAAGCCAGTTTCAAGGTCGAGAACGACAACGACAACTGCGCAGCGGCTCGCCCGAGCCCATCGAGCTGGAGAGACCACTCGCCATAACAATAAGGGCTGTCTTGAATGCTTGAACCGAGAGATAGAGACAGAGCAGCTGTGTGTGATTTTTCTGGCAAATGGACATGCACGACTGCCACACGCTGCAGCGAGGCGATGCAGCAGCGCCAGGCGGAGGAGCCAGAGGCGGTGGGCCCCTCATGCAGCCGTGCAATCGTGCGCACCAAATTGTGAGCCAAATCGCCCATCCGGGCTCCTCTCGATCCGCACCGCTGCTGCTGCTGCCGTTCATTTTCATTCCCTCTCTCCCGCGCGCCGCGTTGATCCCAACTCGAGCCGCTCTCTCACTCTCTCTCCCAGCAGGCCTGCCTCTCGCTTTGCATTCGTCCCACATCGTCGTGTCGCTCTCTCACTGCTCCCTCGTCTCCATCCGCCATCCTCTTCCTCCTCCATTCTCCACCCTCCTCGATACCCAAGGTCTCTCGGCTCCACCTTCACCCCGCGTCCCCTCTGGCAGCTCACGGCACGCTGCACAGCATCCGCCCCATCGTCCCGCAATAAGCGACTCACCTCGCTCGATATCCAATCCGACACAGCCCCAGCTCCATCTCACCCGACTCGTCCGATCTGAGCGCATCGGTATCATAGACAGCATATCATGCATCTCGTCGGCGAAAGCAGCCGATCAGCGCTGCGGCGCTCGGCAGATGAGCTACTCAAACACGACTCTGACCACCTTCAAAAGCGTTCACCATCACCAGCACCAGCACCCGCACCCGCACCCGCGCCTGCACCACAACCAACCGCACCGCCAACACGCCGCACGTTCGAAGAGCCCGAACATCTGCTCGTACGCGCGCGCGACTTCAGCGAGCGCGTTCAACAACACCAAAGAGGTGCGGCAGACGAAGAGACGATATTGGGCCCCTTCTGGGCACGCGATATGGACGACGTCGTTCGCATCAAACGCGACGTGCTTGCTCAACCGCTCGACCGTCGTCTCGATCGCCTCCCACGAGCACAGCCTGTACAGCGCGCCATCCAGCGCCGCCAGACCGCCGCACAGGAGACGTGCTACGTCGGAAACGAGGACCTCAGCTGCTATCCCACCGCAGGCACCACCGTCGCCCAGAATACATGGTCCAAATTCATCTGGAACGCCAACTACCCCCTCTTTGCTCAGCGCGGCTTCGTAGACGTCTACCTCTTCCAGCAGGATACCGATCGCCTCGTCACCTCCTGGACTTCGCAGGACAACGGCGCAGGCCGCGTCTCGTTTCAGCCCAACGACAGCTGGTGGGCGAATCGTTCCGCCGCTAACAATATCCAGCCCAACCAAAATATCTCGTGGCCGTTTTACTTTGTCGTCCTCGCCTCGGGTCAGCCTCTCTCGGGCACCACCTCCCGCCTCGCCACCTTCACCGCCGTTCAGACCACGCTGCCCTTTTCGATCGCACAGGCTCGTGCATCCTCGTCCAGCGCTGCCTCGGCCGCCTCGGCATCGTCAGCGAGCGAGGCTAGTGCCGCCAGCGCCGCCAGCGCGGCGTCGGCATCAGCCTCGGCCGCTACAGCGACGCCCACGGGCAGTGCAGCCGCCGCCGCCTCGTCGCTTCAGTCCAGCCTTAGTGCCGCGCTCGAGTCGTCTCTTCGCGCGTCTGGACTGAGCGGCACAGAGACGCTGCAGGGAACTACCACCGCAACGCTTCCCAACGGCTCCGCAGTCACTGCCACCGCAACAGCGCAGGCCAACGGCGGTCGTCTTGGCGGCTCTTCGGGTTCGGGCAACTCGAACGGTCTGGCACTGCCCACGTACGCGATCGTGCTCATCTCGGTGCTCGGCTTCCTCGCCGTCGTAGCTGCCATGGCTGGGGCCTACTTTATCATGGCCGCGCTTCGTAGACGCAGGCAGCGCCAGGGCGGCGATGGCAGCCACCGCAGTTCGTCGCCCATGATGGCCGCGGCGGCCGGCTCGTTGGCAGGACGCAGCCTTGGCGATGCGGGTGAGACTTCGCACATGCTCGAGACCGAGGAGCGAGGCAGTGCGTTCCCGTCTGCCGCTGCCGCGGG